GAGAGTGCTTGTAGCGCTATGGGGCGGTATATAAGTCCAATAAATAAATAAATAAATAAATAAATAAATAAATAAATAAATAAATAAATAAATAAATAAATAAATAAATGGCAAAAGAGATTGTTCAACAAAAATTAAGTTTTTGAACCTGAAATGTTATTATTGAACATAAGGCTAGAAATCATTGATAAAAAATAAAAGTATAGTCTACTGTATGTATTCACAGCAGCTAGGTTCCTCTGGGCCCAAAAATGGAAGAATGAAGAGACACCAATGATGGATGAGCTCTTAAAGAAGCTACCGGACATTGCAGAACAAGACATGCTTTCAGAGGCATTACGGGATCAACCAAGAGATTTTTGTAAAGCAAAGCTGGAAGCAGATATATAATTGGGGCTAGAAAAACTCAGGAACTTTGGGGGGGGGGGAAATTACTACTGTATGTATTCCCAGCAGCTAGGTTCCTGTGGGCCCAAAAATGGAAGAATGAAGAGACACCAATGATGGATGAGCTCTTAAAGAAGCTGCCGGACATTGCAGAACAAGACATGCTTTCAGAGGCATTACGGGATCAACCATGAGATTTTGTAAAGCAAAGCTGGAAGCGGATATATAATTGGGGCCAGAAAAACTCAGGAACTTGGGGGGGGGGATTAGTCTATAGTGAACCAGTGCTCACCAGGCTAGAAAAACTCAGGAACTTTGGGGGGGGGGGAAATTAGTCTATAGTGAACCAGTGCTCACCAGAATCCTTTGAAGGTACTTGGATGACCAGACAACGGTGAAATCTTTGATCCACAGGGGAAGGAGGGATGTTTAGTTGTCATGTTTTTTTGTTAAATATTGGTTAGTTTTTAATGTTTTTCAGTTTGTATGTTTAGATACGTGTGAATAAAATGTTGAAAGAAAGAAAAAACCCACAAATAATCTTGTGGCATTTTGAAGGGAAATTAATAAAAGGCAGACGTTTCCCCCCCCTTTTCGGGGGGGGGACTTCTGGTAAGATGAGTGGTATATAAATCACATACTGTACAGAGAAGCGGTGGGCCAGCAGGGCAATATATTCCCCACCAGCAGCCACATGGGCTGTGAGATTCTGGGAGCGATGGTTGGAAAACACCCTATTCCATTCTCCGATTTCTGCTGGAATCGTTTGTGGTCTAGAAGGGAGACGTGGTTGCAGGCCACGAACCCCCCCCCCAACTCCACTGACTTAGAGACATCACTAGGGATCCATGGACTTTGCCCCAGGATGGGTGTGTCTTCTCCCTTACACCTATCTTCAATTTCAAGCCGAAATGCCACCACTCACGCCTGCCCAGGGGTTGAGATGTTCAAAGGAGGATCTTCTCTTAGCCCTGCCAAATCATGTAGCGAGGAGGTAGGAAACGGCTGACCTGGCAACTCCTCTGTTATCTTCTGCCAAAGTTGGGACAAGATTTCCAGACCGATGGCCTTGATCCATGTGGATAGGGCTTCTGCATTGCATACCTTCGTTTGACCAGCCCTCCAAGTTAAATGCAATCCATTATGCTTTCAAAAAAACAACATATGTAAAAATCTAATTCCGATGGATTTCCCCTTTAGCAATTTAGGTTTAGCTTTATGTGTTGTGCTAACAATTGGGGTTGAGGGCCAAAATAATCATTTGGCAAATAAGATCTTTATTTGGCTAAAGATGTCAAAAAGTCACTGTGACCTAAATAAATATGTCATGCAAACAACAGTACATTACAGATTTTTCACTTTATAGCTTTATTCCTGCTAGCTAGCACAGACTACAGTATAGGACACTAAATTAATTAAATTAGCCATGGAAAGACGGAACTTTTTGCCTGCTTCACATGTTTTTCAAGTTAATTTTACCTCTTGTAAAAAATTTTTGTGAATGCTTGTTTTGTTATTTTATTACTAGTATTTTATTATTTGATGGTTTTAATGCTTGTTTACATTAGAATTTAAATACTATTTTTAGGATTGGTTTAATTTTCTTGATTGGCTGTATGCAATATTGCTACAAAGCTATAAACTTTGTGTATATGTACAAACTGCTAATGTGTGTTGTGTTAAATTGTTTTCATTTCTGTAGTAGAAAGAAGGGCTACTGGACTGGATCTATGTTTAGTTATATATAGCCGATCTGTTCAAATCAAGAAGAAATTAGTCGTGACCCACGTGCTCCATGGATTTCAAAGGCCAAAACCCTCTTGTGAGATGCCATTTAGCTAATGAGTTGGCTAATGAAATTAAAAAGTCACCATGAGCCCTAGAAGGCAAAGTGTGCAGAGTATGCCCTTTTTGTTGACCATCTGTCCTGCACCTGGCCACTCAACTGAATGAGCAACCATTCTGAGCATCACCTTTACACCTTGTCCCCATCCCATGATTATTTACACAGGTGGATGTTGCTCCTATCATGTTACAGAGTTGTGTTAAAAAAATAGAAGGAAGTTTTTCTCGCCTGTACATCATATTCCATTCATTTGTTTTCTTGATTTATCCGACCACTGCAAAGCATGAAATCCTTAGGGAACTAAATGACAGCAGAAGGACGTGCCATCTGTATACAGTAACCCCATAAAATCAACACTATTATAGTCAGAACCAGATTTACAGGATTCTATTTAAATATTTTACTGGGTCTGTAACTGCAAAATAAATACTACAACTACTATTTAAATATTTTTGTAGCATAAATGATTACAGATATGAAACATGCACCTTTCATAGCCATGTATATGCTGTACCCACACACAACAGGCAGGATACATTGGCGTACATCTTACTACTTCTTCCAGAACGCATGATGTTCCTCCTTCATGCAGCCCCCTTTCCCTAAAAAATTTGTTCCAGAGGGCTAGAAAACCCTGTAAAGCTGCAGCAAGAGGAAGAGGTAAAATAAGTTCTGGTTCTACTGGATTAGATCCCAAAGCCCAGCATGGAATTTTGGCTAATAAAATCATGGTTTCATTAGCATATCTTCTTCCTTCTGTCTCTAAAGATAATTCGCTACATTGTTCAGAGAACAACAAGCATAAGAATGTGATTCAAGATCGGCATGAAGCATTTCCCTTCCTTGCCTCCTCTGGTAGCCAACCACGCACAAGGAGGTGGGAATTCTTGCTGTGCAGCCATTCAATGGTTGGCTGCTGGAGGAGGCAAGGAAGGGGAGCCCGAGCTCCCGGCTGGACTGGACAACCACCTGAGAAGGATGACTTGGGCAGCACGCACCAGACAGAGAGTGCAGTGGGCACCTAGCCGGGGTGGGGAGAGGGAAGTGCACAAAGCACTTCATGCCCATTTCTAGATGCTGAAAATCTAATTGAGCAAATGCTTACATTCAGTGAGTCGTAGTCAAATTAAGCAATGCATTTTACAATACATAAATAATTCAGATTTACAAACGATTTTAGGGTCAGTACACTTCTGTGACCAAATTTTTTTTTGCCTGGATGCCAGATTTGTCTTTTAACACTAGAGGGAGCTGCATAGTTATATGTATTTTAATTAAATAGTGGTACTGACATGTATAGGATGTGGTGGCGCTGCAGGTTAAACCGCAGAAGCCTCTGTCAGTATGTATTTTAAGTAAATAGTGGTACTGACATGTATACCCATACATGCAAAATAATTCGTCAGAGATGGGAAAAAAAGTTACTTTCTAATGTATTCCATGAGTTGCAGACTAAAAAAATCAACTGTTTTCATCCATATATCATGTATTTGATATATGTATATATGTATGTATCATGTATATATGTATGTACAGTATCATGTATATATTGATATATGTATCATGTATGAGTAGACTCTTGTCTAGAAGGGCGGGATAAAAATCCAATAAATAAATAAATAAATAATAAAATATTTCTCTTTCTTTTCATTCTTTCTTTCTACCTGCAAAAGGTATCCTATTGAAAATATAGGGAGTACCTTTCATTTAAAAGATTTTCAAAACCTGCTTTGGATTAAAAGTATTACACACTTTTCTTTGTGTACTTACTGTTTTTAGCTTTTAAATATTGTCTTTTTAATTATGTGAGCTACCTTGTGTCCTTTTAAGGGATAAAAATATTTTAAAGAAATAAAATAAACACATTATTTGGAATATTACATTGGATGCAATGCCTCTTCTGTGCCTGAACACAAGAATGTCTTAATCATGAATCCCTTACCTCTTTCTTCCTGCAAAAGGTATCCTATTGAAAATATAGGGAGTACCTTTCATTTAAATGATTTTCAGAACCTTCAAAAGTATTACACACTTTGTGTACTTACTGTTTTTAGCTTTTAAATATTGTCTTTTTAATGATGTGAGATACCTTGTGTCCTTTTAAGGGATAAAAATATTTTAAATACTGTAAATAAAATAAACAGTCTTTGGAATATTACATTGGATGCAATGCCTCTTCCGTGCCTGAACACACGAATGTCTTAATCATGAATCCCTCACCACCTGGGGGTGATTGCACATTTATTACATGGAGTCTCAAGAAATCTCTGTTTAGGTTGCAAAACATGCCGTTCATTATCTGTTCTTAAAAAATTATTGAGCCACTAGTCCCACCCCCCACAAAGGCTGCCCTAATTCATTAATTACATTCATTTGTGGCTTTAACTGTTAAACCATTTAAACAGGTTTAACTGTTAAACCAGGGGGTCTGCCTCTTTTTGTTGTTGTTGTTGTTAACAAATTAAACCCCCTTCTGCTTGCAACCCTTAATCATTGGAGACTACAATTCTGTTGTTGTTGTTGCTGCTGCTGCTCCGGTGACATTTATTTTAATTTTTAAAAAGACTTTCTCAGCCTAACACAGCAACCCACCCTTTGCACATCAACTATGGAAAACAACAATATCTGGAAGCCATACTACGAATCTGAGATACATGGAGAGATTCTTATGTTAGCATTGAAAGGCCTTCATGCTTTGGGACCCTGTTACTTGGCTGAGCGCCTCTCCCGCAAAACATCTATCTACCCCACTCCTATCTCTTATAGGAGGATGCCCCGAATGGCCACCTTGGGGAGGTCCGAATGTCTACCACCCGTAACCGGGCATTCTTTGCAGTGGCTGCTTTACTCTGGAATTCCCTTCCACCAAAGGTTCGGCAAGCCCCATCCCTCCTGGGTTTCTGGAGGCAAAGTAAGACATGCTTGTCCTTCCCGGCCTTTCTATAGTTTGCTTCACAGTAATGTTACATATCCCTTGTGGCCCAGCTGCCATGAATTTTCTGGAGCCTATGTGGCTCCCGTAGGATCATGCTTATCATGGTCCTGGAGTCTGGAATCTTTTATGAAAACAACATTGTTAAAGACTTTTCTATTATTGTTGTTTTGTGCAGCTTCACTACTAGTTGTGTGGGATGAAAAATAACAATATAGGACTCTTTCGAGGCCCTGTAATAATTACATAATAATTCCTTCCTTCCTTCCTTCCTTCCTTCCTTCCTTCCTTCCTTCCTTCCTACCTACCTACCTACCTACCTACCTACCTACCTACCTACCTACCTACCTATCCCATTCCAATTCATTCCAATGCAGTGGTCCCCAACCTTGGGCCTCCAGATGTTCTTGGACTTCAACTTCCAGAAATCCTGGCCAGCAGAGGTGGTGGTGAAGGCTTCTTTAACGTAGTCCAGATCTGTTCCTTATTTTCGTTGCAACTAAAATTTTGCATTTGTGGGATGTTTTCCTGGCCAAAGTTTCAACTAGGTCACCCTACGAGATACTCCATTCCATTATTTTGTCCATCTATTCGAAGTCTTCTGGTCTCTCTCCCCCTTCCACAGTCAGCATTTTATAGCCATTGAAAATCCTACTTGGTAGTTTTGGGGTCCACCCCCCCATCCATTTTTTCCTTAGGCTTTTAAAAAAAATAGATAATGTCCTACTGCAAGTGTTGGAAGTTGTTTTTTTCCACCTGATGTGCCAAGATTTCCCTTTTGTGCGCAGGCAGCATCACATCGGGAAAAGATGGAAATGTTGAGTCTGCTATGGCCACTTCTAGCATCTGTCACTTAAAGCAGGTGCCCCCCTATGTCCGTGTCCTTCCACGCTGTTTTGCAATTTTATCAGCTACCTGATAGTTTTCCTGGGAGTTCATACGAAATCTTGCAGAGTGTTGCACTTCACTGTCAAGATCTGAAAACGAAAATGCAATGTGCCTTTTTTGAGGCAGACATTATTTATTAGGGGGAAAAAACCCTATTTTATTCAAGTTACAGAAAAGTAGGAATATTCACAAAGCCCACCTGGTTCCATAGTATCCTAGCTGTTCTTTGCTGTCTTGCATTTTAAAAAATCATCCTATTTCTTTATTTAAGAAAAAAAAACACCTCTCCAAATAAATAAATAGTTTCTTGCATGTCAAGATTTCACAAGCAAACTGCCAACTTAATAGATATTGTGATACAAGACATCTCGTGAAGGATCAGTCACAAGGACTGTAAAATACCATTTAAATTTGGTTACCTGCATTATTAACGCCCAGGTGAGATAGCCGTTAAACCCAAATAACTTGTCATTTCAGACTCCATTCACTCATTTTTGTCTTCTGTTTGTTTTAAATGTTGGGTTAGTGAGATAGCAATCTTCTGTGGATATTCACAGTCAAGACCAATGTTAAATTGTAAACTGATCCATATTTTTTTCCCAAAACAGTGGTGCAGGATTACACAATCAAATGAAAACATTAAATGTTCGTAACCCACTAGTGAAGCAACCGCCCCCTAATATCTGCCACCTGAGGCAATGTCTCATTCTGCCTAAGGGCAGGCCCTTTGACTATGGCTTTTGCAAGCAGGCGCTCCTTGCTTGCTCTGATCGTCACGGCTCTCCCCTGACTAGGCAACAGCGGAGGCCTTCCAAACAGATGATGGCTTTTAAAAAAAACATCATGACGCAGGATGCTTCCGGAGTGGAACAGGAGTGGAATCTGAAGAGCGTAAGAGGACAAGAATCAGGTACTAACGAATTAGACAAAACAGCTTCCAAATCCCCCACGCAACAATGAACCGTTCTCATCCACGGCCTTTCAGATACACGAGAGCCGAGCAGCGACTGGAGAAGCGAGGAAGTTTCTGTCCAACAAACCGGCAGCTTGGCAGCCCCTTCACACCCCTGGTTTTCTAAACAAAGCCGTAACATGTTCCCGACTAGATCACCTTGGTTAAACCAAGAAGCCCCGTTTTTTCCCTTCTAAAAGGAAGAGAGAGAAACGTAGCTGACCGGCCACAGAAAGTGGGCCGCAGGCAACGAGACCCATCGCAGTCCGTTCTTCTTCTCTGTTGATGAGTCTGGGCCCCCACGAGACCGGGAGGCTCACGTTTTCTTCTTGGTCGTCCTTCTTGGAGAAGCTTGCACCTCACGGTCTTCTGTTGGGCACATGAACGTCCACAGGGACAAACGTCACTGTCGTGTGGCGTCCTTGTGCGTTGGGGCTGTTGGGGCTCTGTCCTAAAATCGAGGGGACGGTGGTTTTAGCGTTCTTCGGTTCCAGCTCTCGCTTTGCCCTCATGCGCCTGCAAGGGACAAAAGAAACATTATGGCAGGACTCGTCGGGTCTTGAGTGGCCTTCTCTTGGGGTGGTGTCATCTGCCTTGACATCCAGCTGTGTCCTTAGATGGGAAGGACATCAGCTGAACTCCCTGGTCTCTCACAAATAAGTTATATCTGGGACCCTCCAGAGGACTTGGGCTACAACTCCCATCATCCCCATTATTGGCTATGTTGGCTTGTGCCGATGCAAGCTGCAATCTAACACATCTGGAACAGAGATGAGGAACGTGACATTGGATAACTCCCAATACCTCTCCACTGGTCTTGTTGAGCGCTTTGTCAACATGTGTTTAGTAACAGGAGCTATTAATTCCTCCCTAATTCTTTTCCACTGATTTTTGGGAAATCTTTTGTTCAGTGCTTCCTAACCTTGGGTCCCCAATTGTTCTTGGACTATAACTCCCGGGAATTCTGGTCCGTACAGCTAGTGGTGAAGTCTTCCAGGATTTTTCATCCAAAGTGGAGAACCACTGTTTCATAGGAATGACACGTTATCCTGTACACAAGGCTTTTTACCTAAGACCATGTGCATAGCTACACTGTGAATGAAAATGCAACAACAGCACAGACTCCAGAAGGACTCCCAGGCAGGAACGCCCTGCCAGAATGCACACAGCTGTGCTGCACCCACCAGCTTTTTCGTCCTCCTAAAAAAATTAATGGACCTTGAGCCCACAGCTAAGTGGCTGACTCACCTGTTATACATTTTCAGCAAGAGCAGAACCACTGTGAATATAATTATGACACCCACAACAATGGCTGCTATAATTGCTCCAGAACCTAAAGTGGAGGAGGGGGGGGGCAAAACAAGCATTAGAACGAATGAATTTGAATTAGCTTTTCATTTCCGACACACACAACAAAGTGGTTACAAGAATTCCAAAAATTTAGCCCTGGGAGTCTGTCCCGTTCTCCCACCCCTATCCATGGAACATTAATTTTTAAAGGATTCTTCATTCCTCCATCTTGATTTTAAAATAACCACACACACACACACACAAAATTTAGCAAATGGAGCTGTTCTTAAGTTGGATTGTTCTTAAGTAGGGACGTTCTTAAGTAGAGACCTCACTGTACACAAGGCTTTTTACCTAAGGCCATGTGCATAGCTACACTGTGAATGGAAATGCAACAACAGCACAGACTCCAGAAGGACTCCCAGGCAGGAACGCCCTGCCAGAATGCACACAGCTGTGCTGCACCCACCAGCTTTTTCGTCCTCCTAAAAAAATTAATGGACCTTGAGCCCACAGCTAAGTGGCTGACTCACCTGTTATACATTTTCAGCAAGAGCAGAACCACCGTGAATATAATTATGACACCCACAACAATGGCTGCTATAATTGCTCCAGAACCTAAAGTGAGGAGGGAGGGGGGGGCAAAACAAGCATTAGAACGAATGAATTTGAATTAGCTTTTCGTTTCCGACACACACGACAAAGTGGTTACAAGAATTCCAAAAATTTAGCCCTGGGAGTCTGTCCCGTTCTCCCACCCCTATCCATGGAACATTAATTTTTAAAGGATTCTTCATTCCTCCATCTTGATTTTAAAATAACCACACACACACACACACGTTCTAAAATATGCAAGATTGGCTTTGGTTGTTGATCAGACTATTCACCGGAATGTTAATGAGGATAAAATGGGGGGAAAGAAAAACTCTTGTACATAATACTGTACAGGTTTTTTTGGTGGTGCTGGGGAGACAAAAATGTAGGAATTAAAAATAACCACTGTTCTTGTCTCACCAGGTAAAAATATCCTAATGCGGTGGTTCCCAACCTTGCTCCTGGACTACAACTCCCAGAAGTCCTGGCCAGCACAGCTAGTGGTGAAGGTTTTTGGGAGCTGCAGTTCTGGAACATCTGGAGGCCCAAGCTTGGCAACCGCCATCCTAATGGATTGGGATCCGCCTAATGGTTAATACCTCGTTCTGCATGCTAAGAACGATGTCTCTACGTGTTTCCTTTTGACATGGGCGGGGGAATAATAAATCACAAGGCCAGTTGTTTGGTTTCAAGACATAGAACATGTCTCTGAAACAGCATTCCAGACTAGGGTTGCCATAAGTCTGGATCATCTTGACAAACAACAGAAACTGGTCTGGAGGCTTACATCTAGAGCATGAAAAGCACTACATTTCTTCTCTGTCGCCAGTTTTATTAAGCATCCAAATGATCGTTCTGTCTCTTTTGGAAAGGGAATGATTCCATCTATTCTTACCATATATAGGCCAAAATCCTGCTAAGGCTTTGCACCAACATAACACAAATGGTGTACATCTCATAGAATTGCTGGGTAACTCAGTGGTTTAGGTATTCGGCTGCCAGAGGTTGAGAGTTCAATTCCCCACAGTGCCTCCCTTAGCAGGGGCTGGACTTGATGACCCTTGGGGGTCCCTTCCAGCTCTGCAGGTCTAAGATTCAAAAAATTGCTGGGAGCTAAGTTAGCCTAGGCATTTGCGGTTGCACATTGAGTTACATGACTTCTGAACTCACAGCGCAAAAAATTGCTGGGAGCTAAGAAGTTAGCCTAGGCATTTGGGGTTGAGTTACATGACTTCTGAACTCACAGCGCTTTGCAGAACAATTCACACCGACTGAGTTATGTCGAGGGGCAAAAGTAATAGGATTGGGGCCACAGAGTTTAAGAGTTCCGTCAATGCCCACCCTGTGCTCATCTTACTCTGATAAAGAATTTGTTCTTGAGACTTTGTGGTCCCATTGGTATAAGATAAGGCACCCTCGGTTATTGGCATAGCTGTCGTCATCTTGATTCCAGCTAGAGAAAACAAAACAACAGGCGTATTAGTACCGTGCAAAGGAACCGTTAGAGCAGGGGAGACTGGCTATGGCCTACATGTGGCCCCCAGGAGGCCAAATGCGCTCCCTTAAAACCCCTAAGCTTTCCAAGTATCCCAATAACCTAATTTAATAATAATAATAATAATGAGGGAATTTGGCTTTGAAAGTCTCTTTGGGATGCTGAAAAAAGTTGCCATGTTTTGAAGAGACGCCCAGCACTCCTGGGGCCCCTCCGACACCAAAATTAAAAAAGGCGGACATTTTTTGTCTCTAGAAGGTACAAGGAGCATATCGGTATCTCCTCCATTTTTTGCAATTTTAAAAAAATCTGGCGGTGCTGGTTTGACCTTGAGCAGCCCTTCAAGGTCAAAGGATGAGGATGTGCAAGTCTCCAGGCCTCGGGGAGGTGTCCCCCTCGGAGTTAGAGGAGCAAAACTGCCGAAACAGTACATCCTTTGTTGAGCCAGGGTCTGATCACAGCAGAAGGTCTGCAAGCTTTTTTTGGTTGCATGGTGATCTTTGGTCTTACGATGACGGTGACAGCAAAGGCGATGGCTTGCAAAGCACCTAAAGCTGTCTGGCGCTATCTTAAGACAGTGTGGTGACTTGGACTAAATCTCCCAGAAGCTTTTACCACTAGCTGTGTTGTCCAGGATTTCTGGGAGTTGAAGTCCAAGAACACCTGGATACCCAAGGTCGGGAAGCACTGGAGGGTGGCCGACCCGAGGTCTCTCTATCCTGACTCTGGGTTCAGAGTGTTGCCCCTAGAAGCAAAGGGAACCAAAGGCTAGTCATTCTGAGCCCTGGTTCAAGACCGCCCTCGTTTTTCCACTCGGTTGCAATTCTTATTATCACACAAAACGGAGCACGTGGCTATTAGTGTACGGGCCTGTTACTCTCTCCTCTGGCCAAATAGGCAACGCAGGCTTTTAAGACACCCAGCACCGCTGTCAAATCTGTTTATCAGCAGGAGAAGGGGGATTAAAACATAAGAAACAAACTTTTTGTTTGTTTGTTTGTTTTTCAAACCGCAGGCAGGCCTCTCAGAACGATTATTGTTTGTTTCGAGCCTCCGGGCTCAATTTTCAGTCTGGCACTGGCCGCCGATGTAAATACTTATAGGAAATGTACCCAATTTGTAAATGCCCTACGTGAAAGCGAGCTTGGGTTTTTTGTTTTTTTTTCAGATGCTTAAGAGAGGGGGAAAAAATATCAGCCACCTGTGTTGGAAGGTGGAGAGGAAATAGCCAGATCACAGCCTGTGCTTGCTAAGAGCGGAGCGGGGGCCAAAAAACCCCCAAATCCGGCTCTATAATGGGAGTTCTATAAATATGAAGCTCAATAAAGCAAAACAAAAATGGGGGGAAAAATTGGGTAACTGCTGGCAGGAGCTTTGCCCCCAGTTCTCAAAAAGCTGTGAAATAACAAGGGCTTGCTATTTCTAGCTCAAATGGGAGAGAAGTAAAAAATGAAAATAACTCGGCCCTCAATCCATAACTAGGTCACGCTCCTTGACGTGAATGGTCCCTTTATGCCCGCCAGGCTGAGTTACTTTTCGTAACTCGATAATACACTGTGGTCACGGATCCTGTGTGCCTCGCTCCCTTCTTTTGAAAGAGCTGAAAGTGCTCCTTCTTTGCTCCACTCTTCGCGCCCACTGAATGTGATTGTTATAGAGAGTTAGTTGTTCTTCCCCACTTCAGCCGGTCGTGTCAGCGCTATTTTGGTGGTGCGTGTTGAAAAGGCGGCTGCCGCTTCTCAAAGCGGGCATCTGTCGTCGCTTCCCACTAACCCGTCCAAGAAAGGAGACCGCCGAACGCTTCATTCTCGCTTAACGGGGAAATTAACACAGGTTAACACTGAGCCTTGCAAGAGTTTGGCAACCACGAGGAACGAAGAGGAAAGCTGGGCAAATATTATTCTAAAGCAGGGGTAGCGGGCATGAGGGCCTCAAGCTACATGTTACACACAATCAAGGTGGAGTCTTTATCGTTGGTAATAGTTTGACTCTGGGTATTAATTTGTGGAGGAGACTCTTGAGAGTCCCCTGGACTGCAAGGAGAACAAACCTATCTGTTCTGAAGGAAATCAACCCTGAGTGCTCACTGGAAGGACAGATCCTGAAGCTGAGGCTCCAGTACTTTGGCCATCTCATGAGAAGAGAAGACTCCCTGGAAAAGACCCTGATGTTGGGAAAGTGTGAAGGCAAGAGGAGAAGGGGACGACAGAGGATGAGATGGTTGGACTGTGTCATCGAAGCAACCAACATGAATTTGACCCAACTCCGGGAGGCAGTGGAAGATAGGAGGGCCTGGCATGCTCTGGTCCATGGGGGTCACGAAGAGTCGGACAAGACTTAACGACTAAACAAACAAAAATTAATTTGTGAGGAGTGGGTTGACCTCAGACATTTGACTACCTCCTCGGAGTTCAGAAAAGTCATTTTTCGGGAGCACAGCTTCCCAAATCCCTCAACCAGCACGGTCTGTTAGAAAAGTTACTTTTTTGGACTATGACTCTCAAATCCTCCAGACAGCAGGGCCATAGCTGGTTGGGTGAAGCTCTGGATTCTAATACTTCTACAGTGGTGCCTCGCTTTACGATTGCCCCACATTACGCTGAAAGCGCTTAACGACGAGCTTTTTGCAATCGCAATTGCAATGGTCTGAATGGGTGAATTTAGCTTTGCGATGATTGGTTCCCTGCTTCAGGAACCGATTCTTTGCAAAAATGACATTTTTTTTAACAGCTGATCGGCGGTTTCAAAATGGCCACTGGGTGATTAAAATGGCTCCCGCCTTGTTTAGGGATGGATTACTTGCTATACAGGCAGCGAAAATGGCTGCCGTATGGAGGATCTTTGCTGGACAGTGAGTTTTTACCCCGTTGGAACGCATTGAACGGGTTTCAATGGAGTTTTTATTTTCGCTTTACAATGTTTACGCTTAATGGCAATTTTTCTGGAACGGATTATCGTCGTTAAGCAAGGCACCACTGTAGTCCTAAAGAAGAGAAACTTCTCAAGCTTTACATTCGGAGGTATAGTGGCAAATGGCTCCCACCTTCCCTCAGGTACAAAGGCAAATCAAGAAATGTCGGCGTCTGAGGAAGAAACCCCTACAAACAGCTCTCTCCAGCATAAGGAGTGAAAAAGGAATGAATGAACTGCTGGGTAACTCAGTGGTTGGGAGTTCGATTCATCCATGGTGCCTCCGTTTGACAGGGGCTGGACTTGATGATCCATAGGGTCCTTTCCAGCTGTGGAATTTTAAGATGATTATTATTAAGTCGGGCCCCAGACTGTATTTTCAGTGCTAGAACTGAGCTTTACAACTTTTCTCACTCAAAAGCTCAGACATACAGACTCCCAATTTGGAAAAGGAGCAGAACCTTTTCTACCCTTGTTCATACTATTAAAAATCTGGGGGTGGGTGGGTTCAGAAACCCTTGTGTTGCAAACTGTGAGATCGACCAGTAGGTCCACCTGTGGTGCCATTGGAAAATCCGGCAGCATCAGTTCTTGGCGTGTCACCCAACGTTTACAATCATCCCCTCTGCACCACATTGAGGGCAGAGACAAAATACCACCTAAATTCTCCATAGAAGCAAAAAAACCCCGAATAAACGGAGGCCATTGTACTTTGGGACAGAACCTTTTCTAGCCTTGTTCATACTATTAAAAATCTGGGGGGTGTTGGTGATTCGGAAACCCTTGTGTTGCATATTATGAGATCTACCAGTAGATCCATCTGTGGTGCCATTGGAAAATCCAGCAGCATCAGTTCTTGGCGTGTCATCCAATGTTTACAATCATGCCCTCCTCACCACATTGAGGGCAGAGACAAAATACCGTATTTTTCGCACCATAAGACGCACTTTCCCCCCACAAAACAGGGGGGTGGAAAGTCTGTGCGTCTTATGGAGCGAAGAAACCAGATTATATTTTCCTGTTTTCTTCTCCTAAAAAATTGGTGCATCTTATGGAAAGGTGTGTCTTATGGAGCGAAAAATACGGTACCACCTAAATTCTCCATAGAAGCAACAAAAAAACCGAATAAACGGAGGCCATTGTACTTTGGGCACATCATGAGAAGATAATAATGCTGGGAGAAATTGAAGACCGCAGGAGCTGGATCGCTGAGTGGCTAAGGCATCTGGCTGAGGAGCCCGAGGTTGGGAGTTCGATTCCCCACTGTGCCTCCTCAAGAGGGGCTGGACTGGATGATCCAATGGGTCCCTTCCACATCTGCAGTTCAAAGATTATTAATAATTAAAAATCATCAACTCACTGCCCTTTCATCATACCCCAGACCAACTGCTTGAGCTGGCGACTTACTCTGCTTATTAGCAGGTCTGGGGGCCAAATATCAGGAAGAAGACCTCTCACTTTATATATCTCTGAAACCGCCAAAGATCTCCTGGTATTACAATACACCTTAAACATATGGACTACCTACAGACACCATGTCTAATTGCTGCTCTTTTTTTTAAAATACCCTTTAGCTACAGTGTAAGTTAATGTTTGGCTTCTGGAGGTTTGCTGTCATGTGGAAATCTGGTAATACATAATTGAATTGATTAAACCATAAATCTTGAACCGACAGGAGCATTTGCTCACCAGGAAGCAGGGTGTTGGGACGACACAGACCTTTGCTCTACGAGTCCTTCTTTATATCCTTACAAATGACAGCATCAAAACCAGTGGACCTCATGCTGTTTTAGCGAGAGAAATGGGTTTCGGAGGCGAGCGAAGAACACAGAGGCCGACAAAAGGGCGAACCAGCTTTTCTGTTATTCCCAATCTCATGTTCCTCTGGCTGCTTTGTGTTTAAAGCAGGGAGGTGAATAGAGCAGGACCACGATATCCACAGGGGATTGGGTCCAAGGACCCTCCTGCCGCGGATGCTGAAAACTGCAGAGGTATCGAACCCTCACCACAGGGATGCCGGCCAGAGCACTTCTCCATCCTAAGATACTTGGGTGGAAACCTTTAGAGCATGTTGCTTATTTTAAAGTTCTCTGCTTGACCCTTGAAGCCAAATATGGTACTCCCTAAAGCAAGTACCATATTTTTCCATGTATAAGACTATACTTTTGTCTAAAATCTTTAGACTAAAAAATTGAGGGTCGTCTTATACACGGAAGTAAGCTGAGGAGAGAACAAAAACAAGTGGATGGGAAAGCAGGGATCAAAGAGATCCTGCAGCGCTTTGATCCCCTTTCCCCCTACACTTGCTAAGCCCCACTTAGATCTCTTAATTTTGGATTAGAAAAGTGGGGGGGGGCGTCTTATACATGGGAGCGTCTTATACACGGAAAAATACATGGTAGCCATAAATGCTCTGGCTTGGGGTAAAATGTTGCACATAGGGCCACCGCTTCCACACCTGTGTTCCTGTGGCAAATGTGCAGAAGCTCCAAATGTATGTAATTTGGAAGGACTAGTTGAACAAGCAGCCTTTCAGTTAAGGATTTGCTTGACAGTAGCAGGTCCCACTGAGCACCAAGGAGCTGCCATGCCAACACACACACACACACACACACACACACACATGTTCCTCCCATTTTATTCATGCTGGGCATAAAGACTCTTTTCTCCTCCTGGATCAATTTCTCCCTCTTTTCCTCCTCAACAGGAACCTGATTCTCAGTTTTTGTGCCTCAATGGAGGACAGCGGAAGGGGGGGAACGGCACCGAACCCTCCTCCTCCTCCCCCCACACCCCTGGCCTCAGCCGATTCGGTGTCCTCAAGTCGGATAAAGAAGGCATTTCTTCCGTTAGGTGCTGACTTGACTCACTCCTTCAATGGGCTGGTCAGCTTGGGCAGAATTTCCTGGACGGCGAGCACGAGGAAGGCCAACATTTTAATGATTATTATGATTATTAATCCAAGCCCTGGAGCTAATGGCCAAAGAAAGCATCTGAGGGTATGGAAACTGGCCAGGAGCAGGGGTGTGTGCATGAGGTGGCTGCCCATATTCACTCGAAACGTACAATAGAGAGCAGTCATAGAACGCCCAGAGTCCAGCTCACTGCACAGATGTGTTTTCCTGCCAAGTTCACGAAGGACTGCCTGGCAGAGGCTGGCGGCTGTAGTCCAAAACTCTAAATCGGCATAGCTCTTATCTCTATGCAGTGGTGCCTCGCTAGACAGTTACCCCGCATGACAGTTTTTTCTCTAGACATTGACTTTTTGCGATCGCTATAGCGATTCGCAAAACAGTGATTCCTATGGGGAAATTTCGCTGGACAATGTTCGGTCCCTGCTTCGCAAACCGATTTTCGCTAGACAACGATTTTGACAGCTCCCTCCGTGCTCGCAAAACAGGTGTTTTCGGGACCTAAGCTTCGCAAGACAGCTATTTAAACAGCTGATCAGCGGTTTGCAAAGCGGCTTTCCTATAGCCGATCTTCGCTAGACGATGATGATTCTTCCCCATTGGAAGGCATTAAACAGGTTTCAATGCATTCCAATGGGGAAATGCCTTTCACTAGACGATGATTTCGCTAAACAGCTATTTCAGTGGAACGGATTATCATTGTCTAGCGAGGCACCACTGTATATTTACTGTAGCTGGATTCTTTGATTGTCATTAGAGTCAGGCACGACCCGAACCATGCATGAACCAGAAAAACAGTCAAATTGGGCTGGTGCATGGTTTGGTTTGTGACCTGGTTCGAGGATCCTGTTTTACTAAAAGAACATGAAGTGCTGGGTGGCGGGTGCATGCGCAGAGGGGCATGCACCCACTTACTATCTGGGTGGCAGACACCCAAATAGCAGCGGCCCAAATAGCTGGAAGTGGGCCTGCATGCCTCTGGAGGTCGTATTAGTGAGTGCTCCAACAGTGGGAGGAATTCAAGAGAAAATTAGACAACCCTCATATCAGATCTACTGTAATTTGGATTTGGATTCCTGCAGCGAGCCAGAGGTTGGATTTGATGGCCTTATTGGCCCCTTCCAACTCCATTACTGTATTCTATGACCCACAAAATTATTATCTTCACCCTTTCGGAAGGCAGGGATTACATAGTACTTTCAACCGAGAAGATGATGCAAACAATCTTTGGCACAAAACAACTTTTTAACACAACGAACACATTAATGTGAACGACGCCACTTGCGCTTCTTTTGTTGCCTTGGAAAGGCCGTTCATGTATTTTAAAATAAATAATCTGCTGCCCTGCGTGTGCTCTGCCCATACACTTTGCTTAGCAGAGGGAAAGGATGTTTCCTTTGCACAAAGAGATCGTTTATGCGAATTGCGGAGACCTGAATGAAAAAGGCGAGTGCTTTTTTTTGGTCTTGCTCGTGCCTGGACATGAGAAATCTTTCAAGGCTTGAAAACAAAATGCTTTGCTGAGGTGCAGGGTAGATTTTAAAAAAATCAATGATTGTTTTTACAATCAAATTGAGTTAAATCGCAATGTCAATCCCGATGTCAATTTTTTTTCAAATTTAAATTGCAAAAGAAATCCCAAGTTTAAAACAATTTAAATCATTATTTAAATCAAATCCAGTCAGCAAGTTGTCTTGTCAAGTTGAAATAACGTAAATGTCATGGCAGGAAAACGCCGGTTGTGGGACTCGCTGCCAAGTCAGACTTCAGGAACTCAATTTGGACTTGACTTGGTTTCCCCCCCCCAAAAAATGACTCAGAATTGACTCGTGTGACTCAGAACCCATCCCTCCCTTCCTTTTTTCTGAGGAAAGCAGCCAGCCAGCCAACCTACCAACCAACC